CGAAACCCACGGGTATGGGGATGGGTTCGCAAAACATTTCCCCGCATGGGTATGGGGCGGGTATGGGTTTGGGTATTTGAAGATGGGGATGGGGATGGTTTAGGCAAACCCGCCCCAAACCCGCCCCATTGCCATCCCTAATCTAACCTCACTATACAAAATTTTGTTGACCTTATTTAAATTGATTTAAGTTACATACGCATTTTATCGTGTCATCCGTAACGGATAAACTCCTTATTATACACTCCCCCATCTTAAAAATAGTTCAAATTCGTTTAAAAAAAATCAAGGGTTTGGACTTTGGAGTGCGGTTGTCCTTATCCTAGAACGTAAAACTCAATTAATCAGAACTTAATTGAATGTTAATGGAGGCGTAAGACCTAATCCTATTTTTACGGGTCGTTTGCTTCATGGATTTGAAAAATGAGGGTTTTGGTAAAACTTGGGTTTTGGAAAACCATGGATATATGATGGATTTGGTGGCATTATGGATTTGAACAAGTCTATTGTTTGCTTGGTGGATTTTATTATGGACTTTGTTTGATTAGATTTGTGGATATTAAATACAAATTACCTAGTTACCCTTATTTAACTATATTTCTATATTATAATCCAAATCTTTCATTTAAAACTAATCCAAAACATAGAAAGAAATTTTAAACTCTTTACCACTATGTGGATTAATAATTCAACTACAAATATAGAAATGTATTACAATTTGGCACTAATTAACAATCTATCTTGGCACTAATTAAAAATTCAACTAATAATCCTTCATAAAAAAAACAATTCATCTAATAATGTACGCAATATTATGTATCAATTGCAGCCAATTGTTCGCTTTATTGCTACAACTCATCTTCTTCTTGCTAACTCACCGATGTGGAATCCGACAATCAATCAAATAATAATGTACAAGATGAGCATAAAGTGTTTCTAGGTGAATCTAACAAATCACATATACATTCATATTTAAATAAAATACAATATTACAAAATGAAATGATAAATTCTCATATATATAAAATACGAAATTATAAAAGTTTACAGTTGCATGACCATTGAATTAAAGTAGGACAAATTTATAATTAAAGAAATAATTAAGGGTAGAAAGGTAATTTACCATCATGGATTTTAATCCATCACCCAAATCCCACCTCAAGAGGTGGAACTTCCAAGTCCGTGGGGTCCACGGATTTGGAACCCCAAAAGTGGTGGGCCCCACAAATTCCATCTCCCTAATTCCCTAAGGCAAACGATGGATTTCGGTTCAAGTCCATGATGGATATATTTCCATGACCAAATCCATCACCAAAACCCTCAAGCAAACGACCCCTTAAAGACGCAAAACGGAACATATATCGGCTGCCGAGTCCGTGTCACAGCTGCCTCACCTCCGAGTCAGGTGGTGCCCCAAGTTGACAGCCACCGGAATAGCCGGTAATAAACAAAGGCGTTAGATAGCCCTCTTCCCGCTTCTTCCGCCGAAACCTCCACGTGTCCCATCTTATCCACTCCTTCCCGTTTCCCTTCCTTTTTCTCTTTCCCCCACTTCCTTCAAATACGCCCCCACCACCTCCCTTTCCAACTGTCATAAAAATCCCCCCCACGCCATTATCACCGACCTCCGTCTCCCAACAAAGCTTCCTTTCCTACTCTCCGATCGCCGGATTCTGGAAAGCTCTAATCTCCTTCAGATCAAACAAATGGCCGCCAATCTCCTTCCTCTCAGACCCGCCGTCGTCTGCTCCTCGTCCAGCTTGGAGCCAAACAACCCCCGGAGAATTCCCTCCTCCTCCGCCTCGCCGAAATGGTGGTCCCCGCTCTTCGGATGGTCCTCCGAGCCGGACTACGTCGGGACTTCGGAGATCCAGCCGGCCGACGGCGACCAGAACAAGAATCGGGCGGATCTGGAGTCCAAGCAGGCCAGATCTCGGTTTTCCCCGGGCTGCTTCACCGCCGAGAAGGCCAAGCAGCTCCGCATGATGACATCAGGAGCGTCGTCGCACCACGACGTGATGTACCACTCCGCCATCGCCTCCCGCCTCGCCTCCGACTTCAAGAAGAACGACAACAGCTCCGCCGCCGCCGCCGACCGGTAGCTTCCGGCCGATCTATTAATTTGCCCTCACGCTTTTTTTGCTCCTTCTCGTGTGTAATCGATCCGTTTCCTAGATCCGTCTTTAATTTCTTAGATTTGTAAGATCATTTTCTTTCGTTTTTTTTTTCTCGCTTTTGCGCTGCGTCGTTGGCCGGCTCCGTCCGTCAGCCAGTCAGTCCGTCCGTCCATAAATTTTAGTTTGGAGGCAGAAAAGCGTGGGATGATTCCGGTGACTTCTTCTTCTTCGTCTTCTAGGGTTTAATGTTTGTTTGATTAGTTCCTTGTTTGTAACAGACGAATTAACTAGCTTCTTCTGTAAAGCAGTCGATGAAAAAACAAAGATTAGTGTCCGTCATCATGTTCTTTAATTTCGTATGCTGTTTCAACTATTTTCCGGCGGATCTGTGCCGCCGGTTCCGCCATGGAAGCGGTTGGGTTTGGAACTTTGCATTTACCATTTTCCGGCTGAATGGTTCGGTTTACGATCTCATCTGATTTGCCGTCTGATTAATTAGAGCACTGTTTGATAAACAATGCCGTGCCGTGCCTTCCTCATACAAATTCGGGCCCACTTTCCACTAATTGGATCATTAGCTTCAAGATCCAATAATTCATCGGTTTTTATTAGCTTAATCGTGGATTTATATATGAAATTAATGTCAAATGATGTATTTAATCACAATTAAGCCGCCCGAGGATATTGATTCTGGTATCTGGCCAGCTAGACTGAAGAATATGCTCTGCTCTATATTAGATATTTTATTATTTTCTGTTATTTTTTACATACAAGATTTGGATTTAAGTTAACGATGAAATTTTTTCTGCCGAACAGAGTTCCCTTCAAATTGGAATTTATGCAAAATTAGATGATTAAATCGAATCCTATGAAATTCCCCATCGGTCTAGTGATAATATCACTAATTTTGAACCTTGAGAATTTTGAGGTTTTAGATTCGAATTCTTAACGTAGTATATAATATAGCCACAACAAAATAAAATTAATATCACCTTTACTAAAAAAAATAAAATCAGTGTAAACCTTACCATATGAAATAGTTGAATGAACATTAAACTACAACTTAAACAGAAAATATTATATCATTGACTTACGGACCAAAATTTGGTTCCGGTGACAATTCAATCACTATAGTTCCCAAAATGCGGCTAATTGATGCCTCGACTATATTCTATATTCTTTTCCTACGTTCTAACTATAGTGATAGACAGAAAAAATGGGTGGATTTGGCCGGTAGCAGAGCAGCCGGCGGGGGGAATTGTGGTGACGGAAATTGCCGGGAAGAAGGAATGAATGAAACCAAAGTCCTGGACCGACGGCGACGGGGTTTCGTACTTTGTGTTGGAAATTTCGAGGGTTTTCAAAGGGCTAATCAGGACAAGCAAACATTGATTGTCAAGAATTGACAGAAAGAGAGAAGCAGCGGTTTCTCATGAACGTGTTTCCGTCGGTATGAAAAAAGCGCAGAAAATTCCAAACGGTGGTGGTGGTTCTGGCTCGGCCAAAAGGTTGTGGTGGTTGGGTGGGTGGCGCCATGCTCACCGTCAAATTGCGCGCTTTCTGGTGTTTTGTTTTCTTTCTTCCAACTTGTGAGCAACACATGAAACAAATGCCAGAGGCAGCATCCTACTGCGTCGCACAATCAAAGGTTTCGGCTGGAGATTTCCTTGATGCAGACAGACATTAGAATCAAGTCGTATGATGGTAACGGCACATGTCTACAATCATCCATCAACCATCATCTGGAACCAAACCCTTGATGAAAATGGTAGGTCTCAGCGTTTTGAGGAGTTGTTTTTTTACCTGTTCATGGACTAGCAAGTCTATGTCACAGCAAAATGTGGGACTCTATTAGTATCTCTAGTATTATTTTCGACACGTATATGGCACCGAATTACAACTCAGAATTCATCAGGCTACAAAACTATCCGCGAGAATACAACAGTATCAAATTCAACAAACCAATTTGGTGTGTAAAATGGGACTCAGGAACCAGGCTCCTCCATGCTGTCTTTCGATCTTCACTTGCTCTCGGCGTCGTATAAATCGGTCCTGGAAAATTGATTATCAAGGAACACTGATAGCAGATATGTGAAGAAAGGGAGACCAACTTGTTCAGTCATCACAAAAATGTAGGTATACAAGTAGAACATTTTATAACATCAAATTGATTGTTTCCCTCTTCTGGTCCAGTTCTCATCCCTAGTGTTTTGCTAATAGCTCGCCGGAATCGCCCCTGGTTATTTCTAGGTCAACAATGACAAATTGGACAAGTAATGGCAGGCTCAACATATCTCGGCATGGGTTATATGACTGTAGGAGATTCGACAAGGACCAAGCACAAAGTTTCAGCAATATGAACAAGCCAGGGAGCAGAGATTTAACTGTGTTAACTAAAAAGGGTCATGATGGAAAAAGGAAAACACAAGGTACCAGTTGGAACAGGCTAACCGAAAGCAGATTGACCCAACCTGCAGACACTGAGAGATCCTAAAACCTATGAAACCTTCTATTGTACCATAACTTAAACTGAAAGGGATGAACCTCAAATGATTTAGATGCTAAGTGGATTGACTCAGCAGGAGAATCAAATCCACAAGACACCAGATCATTATCTATTGTACATGGTCTCTCCAGTTTCAATATGCCACTTGCAAAGGCAGAGGATACACAAACAATTGTGGGGTAAGAGAGCTTTATGTTCTCAACTTCAAGTAGCATGGAGGCACAAGTATAGAATGATGCAAACAACAGCAAACATCAAGATCTAGACTCTCAAGAAGACGCTGAAAAGACTAATGAAAACTCTTTTAGACAATTTTTCCCCTATAAGAAATTGCAAAGAGAGGGGAAAAGAACAAACTATGCTTAGTGTAGCATATTTCCTCCTCTGCGTATTTAAACCAGCAATCATTCGCAGTTAAACATATGTTCCCACTATGATCAACATAATTACCAGTGAAAAAAGTTTTTATCAACTATCTATATCTATATATCCATCTGTCTCGCTTTGCAGCTACAGTCACAAAAGGCTGTATATTAGAAACAAACTAGCTAGATGAGACCCATTATAAGATTTTGTTAAGGAAGTAATGTCATACACAGCTAAGGAGACAATAACATTCCACCAAGAAGCCTAATTTTACAATGCCTGGCAAACTAGAAACTACCAAGGCCAATATATGTCCAAATCCTAGTGGAGGATGCTGCAACAAAAGTTCTAAGACATAAGGGAATCAGAATCTACTTGTAGCCATTGCAAGATAACCACTCTTTCAAAAAGCATATGCAAGGTGCAGATTGATTGATCGTCTCAGGTGTAACCCAACAAGCATGCCCACATAAAAATAAGAAAAGGAATCAATTGATAGGAGCAGGTAAATATCAAACCATAATTGTCAAGGGAGAAAAAGGATACACCAAGTAACCACCATGAATAAAGGCACCAGCCAACACAGCAGTGAACAGCCTGTCCCTCAGGACCGGATTCCTACGCAGCGATAGTCGAACTGAAAAAGCAATAAAAGACCGGATTCGCCATCGGTACTAAAATCCCAATCAACAGAATCGGAAAAAAGCGTCGAAATTTCAACGCTAACGGATACGGGAATAGCTTACTTAGTGGAAGAACTGGAGCATAGATGAGCGGAATCAAGAACTTGAACGGAGTCTTCGGCTTCCTAGCGACAGCCGCCCTGCACCCGCGCCACATCCATTCTCAGCCGGAGTTTCATGGGATTATACAATTGAACGCTAGAAGGTGGATTTGAATACTAAAGGAACTTACTGGTTGGTGGGATCAGCCGTGGAGGACATTTTCGATTACAGGTCGCAAGCAAGAAGCGCTTGAGCTGAAGATCCGTCACAGATTTGCTGCTGGAGAAGAAGAAGAAGAAGAAGAAGAAGAAGAAAGAACAAAACTCCGTCTAATCAATTTTCTTTTCCCAACTTAACGAAGAGTCTGCTTTGGCGTTTAACGGGCTCATACTGGGCCCATCCCTTTGCTGGGCTTTTACAACTTAGTCCATGAACAAAACGGCCTACCTTTCTACGGATTGATTTCAAAAAGCGCTGAAAAATCGAAATTTTTAATCGGACGGCTCTGGACGAGCCGAGTATATTCTATTTAAAAAAAAAGTCATTTCCTGTAATCGAATCCAACGGCCCAGGTAGTTGCTTGATTTTAAAGCAGTGCTGCATCTTCAAGCTACGCTGCCGAGGTTGAACCCTATATAAACCTTCTTCCGAAATTCATAGCTTCGCCGTCTTCAATTCACTGCTCTCTCTGCCTCCTTCCAGCGCTCCTTCGGAAACGCTTGGTTCTCGAGGCTTCGTCCACGCATCTCCGGCGAGAATGGTACGTCTCCGATTCCTTTGAGGTCCCATTTGTTTAGTATTCTCTCCGATTTCGTTTCCGGTCCCGTCATTGCGAATTTTAGCTGCTTTGCTAGGGTTTTTGGTTCGTTCGTTTGTCATGTATGTAATCGGAGGTTTCGTGATTAGGTTTCGCTAATTTGTTGTTTTTTCTCCCTCCTTTGGGCTCTGTATATAGGCTCTGCCGAACCAGCAGCAAGTTGATTACCCGAGCTTCAAGCTCGTTATTGTTGGCGATGGAGGCACTGGTAAATTTCCTACCTTTCTTTCTTCTCGTTTGTAGTTTGATTTATGTCCATCGTGCTATGCTGATTAGTTCGTGTTTCTAGTGCTTTTCTAAGATCTCTCCTGTTTGGTATTTATTGTTTAGATGTCCGTGTTAATGGAAGGGTAGTAATGCTAGGCCCATGGATTGGATCTCACTGTGTGTTAATTTTCCTCGTGTACGCCATTAATGATCGGTGGTTGTTTGGTTTATTGACAAGATGTTGTGTTGGTGATGTTGCAGGGAAAACCACATTTGTCAAGAGACATCTGACTGGAGAGTTTGAGAAGAAATATGAACGTGGGTGTTTGGTTAATTGGGTTTTGATTTGAGCATTATCTCTCAGTCTGAGTTTAAGTTAAATTGAATTTCGTGTTGATTTTGCAGCAACCATTGGTGTGGAAGTTCATCCATTGGATTTCACCACTAACTGTGGAAAGATCAGGTTCTACTGCTGGGACACAGCTGGGCAAGAGAAATTTGGCGGTCTTAGAGATGGATACTAGTAAGTGGGGATCGTGTTTTGTATTTTAGCATTGTGAAATGAATTGATGAATGTAGATGAACCGTCGTGCATGAACTAGTAGATAGTTGGCTTATGTTTCAGTGGTTAGCAGCTCCTTCATTATTTTTTTCTCTTAGTAGTGTTTGCTTCTCAATTCTTCAGCCTATGCTAGAGTTTAGAAGTTGTTGTTGCCTCTTGCATTGCTATCCTTGTATCCTCTGTATATTCTTTTGCTGTCATATATTGCTTGGTGATGTTGTTCACATGTTTGCTGATTTCATTAGATGGTCGTGGTAAAGTATATATACTCAGAGCTCAGGGGTTTCTTTTGGTTAAGAGTAAAGTGAATTATTCAGAGCATTGATGCTGTTAGTGTCATTCCATAGTATATTGCAGTTTCAAGTCCCTTACGTGAGCTGTAGATTAAGTATCATTGCTTCAATTCTCTGATTCTTCTGTCGTCTCTGTGGATATTGTCCTGTTTTGTTCTGTCTTTAAATAATCTATATATACATTGGTTTGATTTTTGACCAACTTTTTGTATCCCATAATGCAGCATCCATGGTCAATGCGCTATTATCATGTTTGATGTTACAGCTCGATTGACATACAAGAATGTTCCTACTTGGCATCGTGATCTCTGCAGGTGTGTTGCTATGTATTTACATTTTCACCTCTGCACTATTAGTTTAGGTTTGAATTGTGATATCCTTTTAACTTATCTTACAAAGGCCAGATGTTAACCAATTTCTTTGTTCTCAGGGTGTGTGAAAATATACCCATAGTTCTGTGCGGAAACAAGGTTGATGTAAAGAACAGGCAGGTGAAGGCCAAGCAGGTTACTTTCCACAGGAAGAAGAACCTGCAGTACTATGAAATTTCTGCCAAGAGCAACTACAATTTCGAGAAACCTTTCCTGTATCTTGCCCGCAAGCTTGCTGGGTAATTTCAACACTATTACAGATGCTTACTTGTCATCCATTGCTGCTTGTGACCAATCCTAAAACTGATGATATACATTACTGGATTTAGGGATCCCAATCTTCACTTTGTTGAGGCCGTTGCTCTTCGACCCCCAGAAGTACAAATTGACATGGCTACGCAGCAACAGTAAGCCTCCTAATACCTGTCTATAATTCATTGATTTGTCTGGTCGGATTTCTAACTGCGATGGCTGATACAAATTGTTTTCTGATGTGCAGACATGAAGCTGAGCTTGCCCAAGCGGCTAACCAGCCTCTTCCTGATGACGATGATGATGCATTCGATTAGAGCGGTGTATTGTGAAAAGCTGGATCCCCTTGTGCAGGTTCCCTGGCACTATGTTATGGTCATCTCCAGAGTTCTCTCTTCATGATGGGATGTGCCCATTTGTTGCTGTTATGCGAACCTTTTGAAAGACTCTAGTCACAGGGGAATTCGGGTTGAGGAGGTTGTGCACTTTTTCTCTATAGTAGAGTGGGATTTGTGCTTTGGTTTGTGATGGATGTTTGATTGGGAACCTTGAGTTCTTGGAACTGGTATAATTGGGAAGACGGGAGTGTTTTGAGATATATTTTCCTGCGCGTTTCTCAGCCTCGTATTAATCTGGATCTGTTCCCGGTGGGCCTGGCCTGGTTACTGACGGACTTATTGTCTCTTCTTCCTCAATTGGATATTGGCCTGGATTTTTGCCCGTTCCTATTTATGGGCTCCATTGTTGGGCTGGAAGAAAGCGACCTCACATCTGCAACCACATTCAACCATCTTCCCACAACACCCACTCGGCCCCTCTTGCTAGGCAATTCCGATGCAGCCGTCGAGAAGGCCTACAACGAACTAGGATTAATACCATACTAGCAATCCAATTCTGTGTTCGAATCACGACGAGTCATTCTGTAGGTCTAACGACACAATACAATTACGAGACTCGCGCTCCATATTCGGACATTCATGACATGTGATGTGAAAGCCATATGAGTGAGTATATAGCAAACCTTAAGTACCGATTCCAAAAAAAAAAAAGGGGGGGGGGGGGGGGGGGGGGGGACAGATACAAACACAAACAGAGAAACAGATCACTAAGCCACTTAGTAATATCCACCACCCAACTTGCCCTGTGTCTCTGGAACAGGATGTACTTATCCCCTCCATTCTAGGAACCACTTCTTCCCATCTGTCCCTTTCCATGTCGACTCGTTGCTACCCTACTGCCAGTTTCTTCACTGCACCCTAACAAGGCCGGAGGAAGAAACAAGGCAGTGGCTAGGTTAGGCTAGGCAGCATGTTGACAACATTGTGGTGGGAGCTTTTGATCTATTGTAGGACACTGTCCCTTCCCTCGAGTGTTTTCAGGTGGTAAATTGATTATTGAATTGCCCCTAAAAAAAAAGCCCCACAGCGAGGTGGGTTCTGGTTCTGGTCCTTCTGGATGGTCGGAGTGGATTGGGTTCTTTTGAATTGGGTTTGTCTTTGGGCTTTTAAGGGTGTGGGGAGTGAGCTGAGCGTGGGTAGGCCTTTGCCTTTCTGGAGGGACAGCCCCGGGAGCCATTTTCCCTACACAAGTTTTAAAAGCCCTCCTTTGTCGTTAAACGCGTGGATGGATTTGTGCGGATTTTGAAGTAAAAAAAAAAAACCCTTATTAGTTTTAAAAACACACATACAATGCAATATGACTATCCATTGTTCACCAGATTATTGAGATATAAACAATATAATTATTATGTATCTTAACTACAGTGTCGAAACAATGTGCGACACGTGTGCAATCATTTTTAACTATCGTCCTCGTCGACACTGCTACATTAAATGGTAAATACAAAGTTACAATTTACAAACCATTTAAACCAAAAATTTAATCTTACAATACTCAAAATACATTAACCATCATAGATCGATCGGGACCCTCAACTTCCGTGAGTCTTCACCATATACGTTGCGGTATACCAACCTCATAAATGAGGCGAACATGAGTCACTGGCACGAGATAAATTTAATATACAGTCTGAAAGTGATTCGCTGAGTCGGATTTTTTAGCAGCCACCCCCACCTATTATATTTGTAGAATCGTCGATAACCCCGTAAAAACAAATCTCTTTCTCTCCTACTCCCCCAATAGTAAATGCACATTTGTGCTCAAAGGTTCAACTTTCTTATTCCCCTAATCACCCCTCACGCTCGGGGGGCTCACTCTTCTGCGAATTGCTGCTCATTTTCTTGTCGACTGTCTTTGGATTTTCCCAAGAGCATTGACTTACATCTATCTGAATATGTTCCATAATTCGGTAATCATGAAAAATTATAAATATTAAATTTGCTGAAAATTCAGTAAGGATCAGACTGTACTGGTGACTGGTGAGGCCTTTCTTAATAATATGATTATTATGACAAGAAGTTGAAAATAATTAAGATATAGAGAAGAAGAAGTAATGGGAAGATTGTGACATATCGTCACATGGCTCCCATCATGTGAAGATACCAAAAACCATATGTTCATGCTTCTCTATTCATTCACTCAATTAAATTCCATGCCTCCTCTTTGAACCCAAAACAAGGATTGAAAAGAAGGACCCATCTCCTGAAGAACAAATGAGAAGGAAGAAGTTGATGTTGAAGCTGGCAGGACCATGAATCGTGACACGATAGTGGATCGAATATACGAGACTAATCGATTCATAGATACGAGATAACAGAATCAGTTGAACGATTGTTATAACATCGTGACGATAAAATGGATTAAGTTTGGTCACTTAAACATAATTTAAACGATACAACG